AAAAAAAAAAAAAAAAAAAAAAAAGAACCGGGCAATCCGTGTTAAAGACATTAGAATGTCTTGTGCCGGTCCGTTTGTTTTAAGCGTCATGGAGGAAAAGAAGTGAAAGGCGTGTTTCCCGTGAAGGGGACGAAATCGCGGCAGCTCGCCTCGGAACTTTTCCAACCTTTTGCATCGTTTTGCGAGAGCTTGCAGATGGTCGCGCGCGTCGTCGACCAACCAGGGACGTTCGAGAAAGGCGAACGTTAAAAAGATAGAGGGTAGAAAAAGACAAAAGGGTAGCGAGCGGCAATGCATGTGATGCAACATGCGTGAATACGTGTACGCTCGAAGCATCGAGCGTGGCTGTATTCGCAAGCTCCTGGTGGGAAACGCGCGCCAACAGAAGAGAAACGAGTTTCTGTCAGGCTCACCCTCCGCGTAATATAAATCGCGCCGGTTGAGTTTCACGCGTGCTTTTCCTCCGTGTGCTTCGGTCCTGAAAGCGAAAGAGAATGGGAGAAGGCCGAACAGGCGAGAGACCGCCCGAAAAATGCTAATTACGAAATGTAGTTTTTTCCCTTTCTTTTCGCTATTTTGTTGTCTTCGTCCCCTTTTTCCCATCTCACCTCTATTCTCTCTTCTTTCTTTCTTTCTTTCTTTCTTTCTTTTTTCAACGTCACCACCGGCAGCGATGTGCGCGAAAAAAATCGTAAAACGCGAGAGCCAGCCTAACAACGCGCCATTATTCCCGAAAGCAAGAGCTTATTTTATGACGCTACAGCTATAAGATCGCGATGAAAGCATTCAGCTCGACCCCTTCCGCGATCCATTGCAAAAGCGTTTCTGTTTTACTTATCATTTTTTATTTTCCTTTGCTTCTTTTGTTTGTTCTTTTGTTTCGGCAATTGTTTAGAATAGGGAATATTTCTCGATTTCGTTACGAACCTGAAATACTGGGCAATATTTTTATACACAATGGGCATAGAAATCTAACGATTCTTTAATGTCGAGTATCATTAATTGCTTCAACTAATGCTGACAAATTTACTTGATACCATTTCGTTATGATGGAATTGATCGTTAACATTATACTATTCCAAAAACGATTTCGCGTACCGTAAGGATAATAATGTCCTGGACACTTGATTTGGTCATGATACAGTGATATTCTTCATCCTTCTCCGACTTAATTTACTATGATTACTAATAATTACATAAGAACGAATAGTCCTTGGTTTGCCAATGTTCAAGATATAAACGATGAAATTGCAACGACACCTGACAAGATTATTAAAAGTAAAGAATCTTCGAAGTATATAATGGGACACTATTCACTGAAGATTTCTTTCCAAGAAAATAAAATAACATTGTAGCATTGTATTGATACGAAGAATTTATAAAAAAAAAAAAATTAAAAACTTGAACGAATCACGTATTTTTATAGAATACGTTACGTATAATTCGAAAATTGTTGCGTCTTAAGCAATTTTTTACAACTGTACATAGAAGATCATCGAAAAGCATATAAAGTAATATCGTTTAGTTTTGTAAACGTCAGAAATCAACCCTCTGGAATAACAAACACTCTCTCGTATCTTTTAACTAAACTATCATCCAGCCCAGCGAATTGTTTTTCTATTTAATTTCAATTACTACTAATTGAAGAGATCGCGACCGTAACGTTTCTAAATAGTTACTGTCCTAGTTTTTTATATAACAATTTGTATGGCGGCAGCTTGTACCACGCACAAGCGAGGCATTTATCGTTTTTCTCAGCCGTTTAGACAGATTTATTTACGCGATCGTAACCAATGTTTGCAACGCGATCGCAGCTGTGATACACGCGCGAGTTGCGGCCCGTAACATCAATTGTCCCCGCGATTGTTCATTTGCATGCCGGTGTAATTTTAATCGCGCCGCTAATTAAACCGACGGTCGCTAAATCTCGCCGCGCGATACACGTCAGCCCGCCCCCGGCATATCCGGCCCGTGTTTTCAAAAGCGCAAAAGTCACCGGTGACCGGCGAGTGGCCTCGTGCAAAATGTATTTCCCCCCCGTGAATTTGTGTTTCAAGACGCTTCCGCCCCCTAAGAGACACGTACGAACCACAACGTGTTTCCAATTAACCCGCAATCAATTATTTTTACCAAGCGACGCGGCGATCGATATAATAATTAAGCCAATAGAACGTTAATTGCCAGTTTTTATTAGAACGCGGTTACCCCTTGGCCGGGGGTGTAATAAATTCTATGGACAGCCGTTTTCGTGCAAAACCGCGGAAGGATAAAGAAAAAAGATCGCCGGCAAGAAATGGCAACTAGTGGATGTAGAGAAAAAGTCACGCATCAAAGCTCGTTGGTTCTTTATGAGGACAAATCGAAGCATGAAAAAACATACGTGCAAGCTCGAAATCACACGTGTCAATAGAATATTTTTGTAATGCTACTCTTTCATATTTTTGCTACGTTTGAAAACCTAGCCAATCATTATTACGGTTTTTTTCATGCGAACTTTAGTAGTGCAAAGATGCACATGGAATATCCCGAAAGTAGAGTATTAGTTAAAATTTGATTGTAAATTTTTATGCTTATTACGGATCTAAGTGAAGAAATTATTTCGAAACAGGAATTTCGTCTCGTCTGTTAAATATTAAAAGATACTATTGTGCATAGAATTTCACACAAAGTGAGGTATTCGTTAGATTTTTATTTTCAAATTTGCTGCAGTCTAGTTGCAATTTATTGGTGAGATAGAATGATTCTCTGGCCAGCTTTCTTGAAAATATAAATTGTAATATTAAATTAAATATAAATGTAATATCTCTCGAAAAGTATAAATTTTAATTTATATCTCTCTTTGAAAATCGTCCGAAGGGGTTTCCAAAATTTTTCGAAGGGTAATGTGTTTTTTCAGTCACGAATTAAATTAATAAATTCGATTGATTTTGGAAAGAAGAGCCACGGTTAGATAACGCGTGACGGAATTACCATAATTCAATTTCAGTTTCAGCATCGTGTCAATGAAGAGTAACGGACACGACATTTATTAATAATCATGCAAAATGCATCGACAGTCCGATCGACCGATAAAGTTCTTGATATAATGTTTGCTTAATCGAGTCCAAGCTAATTCCAATATTATCCTACTTCACATTGATTGCGGCTAATTAAAGCATTTAAAACGCCTGTTAATTCTGCTATTTGCTGAAAGAGACTGCCATGGAATTTATCGTGGGCAATTAAAGTGATCACTTCATCGAGAACGAAATTTAATTTGTGAAAACATTCTGATAAACTATTAAACTGCGATATTTAGATGTAACGTAAACCTGGCTATTTATAAATTCCTTCGATGGACTGTATCGATCGAAATAATATTGATTTCCCATGCTTGCCTTCTGGCAAAATATTAATAGTAGGAAATAAATATTCCTCGTTGTCGAGAAGAGAAGTAAGCGACACCTACGAGTGTCGATAATCGTATGGTTCGATTTCTAAGCCTGCGCTTGCGGTCGACTTGGCAGATGCATTTTAAATCGTTTTACAAATATTTTATATTTAGCCATGCACAGATAAAATTTATCTATAAAGAAACACCTGTAATATAATTAAATTCACTTTGTGAAACAAAAAGGGACAAATAGTGCTCAAAACTTCTATAAAAGACATTATACGTTCGTATTTTACGAGAGTATTATTTAAAAAAAAATAGAACCTCAGTACATAGAAAATGATTTTATGTACTGCATACGAACGTGTCGTACATTTTTTCACATTACGTGCATTTTTGTAATTTCATTCTTTTACAGGGAAAAAGATATGTTAAATATTAAAAGGCAATTTAATCTTTTAACAATTATAAATTGTACATCTATTTCTCATTATTATGCGCCACTAAATACAGATTAAAGCTTCACTAAGGTTTGTAACGTAATTTTTAGGATTGCGATCTCCGCAGAGTTAAGTAAACGGTCGCGTAAAAATATTCGAAGAGAAAAAAGGAACGAGAAGAGATGAAACTTAAGGAAACTCCGTAACGTTTCGTACGAAAGTTCGTAATTGCACGAAAGTCATTTAAACTTCTCCAAGATGAAATTGTCATCGTTTCAAAAAAGGAGCGGCGATTTCTCCGTGAGAAATTTAAAGCGTATCGATCTTGCTGCCCGGTTCTCCAGACTTACGAAGCACATTCGTTCGTCAGACGATATCGTAAAACAAGAACTTCTTCGTTGCCTGTATAGTTTTGAATGAATCGTTCGACAAACTACAGCTTTCGGAAATCTTCGATCATTCACCCAACAGCTACGATCGTCTTTAATAACCATCATCAAACCAAAGAAGAAATTATCGTCTATTCTCACATCCCGTAGAGCCTGTTTATCAACGCTTTTCTAAAAATATAAAACCGAATTTCCTCGCATGGATGAGCCAACTTTTTCTTCGAAAAATTACTGGACCTTAACTATCGGATTTTACATGTTCTGCTTCGAAAATAACCGTCTCTACCTTAATCCTCCGTTTTAATTATAAAGCATGTTACGAAATAAAGAGGAGAGAAAGGTTCTTTTCGTATATCACGTTATCTAAATATTCCAATAATTAATTTGCGATCCCATCCTTGCGATGGATCGATTATTAATTTAAATGTAAATACACTTTCGATTTTTCAAATAATGAACTTACATCCTTTCTCGAAAATATAAAATTCTTTTCCTTCTAACTTCTCAAACATTGGACCAAAAATATTGTAAAGCAAC